TGACAGGTCTTTTGCTCGATTGGAATAAATTTTCCCATGGTTTTGATAGACAATCGATTGTTCCAATTTTTTTTTTTTTTTTTTGTTATTATAATTGTTCCAATTTGGACAGGTCGTCTCTATAAATCTAGGCTCTTAAAATAGAACTACTTTCGATCAGTTTTCATGCTGTTTGCATTGGCTTTACTCGTGTTTATTTCGTCTTTCATTGGCAAACGCACTTACTTTCGCATTGAAGCGAAGCTGTTCGATCCAAATTCACGCAGTTTTTCTGGCTTTTGTTGATTGTTCACTCGGTTCATTTACGCGCATGTGCATAGATCTGTTCACGTGGATGTCAGATTTATCATGGTCGGGTGGTTTCGTTTTAGAAATACTCAGAGGGAGAGATGGTCGGAGAAAACAAAATACAATTCGGCAGCAGGGATTTCTGACCAAAGTACACTACTGACATCTAGCTCCGTGTTCGCGGGAAATATTTAGCTAAGCCATGTACCCGCATGCAAAAGTTATGAATTGGTTCGTGTCTGATCTATAGAGATTAGTGACGTTTCACGCACGCACGCTAACGGAGGTCTATCGCCGTGTGAAGTTGTTTATTATTTTCCTCGGGTTAACCTCAAAATGTATGTAATTAGATCTGTCTGTGAGTTTGACAGTGGTTTGTTATGTATTTTCCTCGGATTTTCACTACCACAGTTTCACACAGCGCATCAATACAACCAGGCGTAAAAATCTCTATTCTGTACAAATTATTTTTATCTAGCTAAAAAAAATCCTATGGTTTTGACAGTTTGGATCACTGCACATTTAAATCGGCCGTTTACGATTTTCGGGGCATAAGTCAAAATTAAGTGTCATGCCGGTTTGTCGGTGCCTAAATTATCTTGCAACCCTTGCTAGAAGCTGGCATTTCACCTGACTTTTACTTTTGATTCGATTTACGTGCAAAATAATAATTGAGTGCTTCGCAATATTTCGCACATTTCTTGGGGCTGTTAGTTAACCAACGAAGATCAATTAATCAATAGAGCTAGAATATTGTTTTTGATTCAAAAAACTAGTTGAATTTGAGAAGCACACGAAACATAAAGGTGATTGAATTTCTGTTCGATTGCAATACTCTCAAATTTAATGTAGTAAGGCTGTGAACCATTTGCCGAGTTAAATTTAACTCGTGGTTAAAGTGACATTTCGAAAATTATTTTCTATGTTCGAAAATCCCTGTGCTATCGATCGACCGGTTTTCGAGAAGAACTTAGCCAAGGTTGTCAAAATTTAACTTCTTGTCTATCAGAAGTACCCACGCTCGGATAGCAGGGTTAATCGATAACTTTCCATCTGTCAAATTTTAACTAAAAGTTAAAATAATCCACCAAATGGTTCAGAGCCTAAGAATAACAAATCCTCGGAAAAAATCCAATGGGAATGTTCTATTGGCTCAGATTTTGACAGTTCATTCGGCTCAAAACATTATCTCCGCCTATCTCTCCCTCTGAGTATTTCTACTTTGTTGATCCATCAATATGGGTTTTGCCGGCGCCGGTGCGTGACTGCTTTCTAATACCCCAATGGGTCTGGGTTCAATCCCAGCCGAGGTCGGTGGGATTTTTCTGAGGCATAAAAATCTCTGGTCACGTCTTCCTTCGGAAGGGAAGTAAAGCCGTTGGTCCCGGCCCATGTGTTGTTTGAATGGGTGCGATATCCTACGCAGGTGTGGAAGCTGCCTTCCTGCACATTCGGTTGCTATCAATGGATGGCAATCGATGTCCGTCGGTGATTGGCACTAGATTGCGGAATAGAGACCGACGTTAAATAAAGGAAAAGAAGAATAAGAAGAAGAATATGGGTATTTTTAGAATCAAAGTATAGAGGCCAAAAATCGATGATCGACGCCATTTTTAAATCCAAGATGGCAGAACCCCATTTCAGAAAAGTGGAAAATACTGACAGTTTCCCTCAATATTGGTAGTTTTGGCATTGGAATGCCGTATAGAGACTGAAAATCGATATTCAACGCCATGACAAATGACGGCTTCCGATTTCAGAAAAAAAAGTGGGAAATACTGCCAAATATTTTTTTAATCAAGGTGACGTCTAGCGGTCGAAAATCGATACCCGACGACATTTAGAAATCCAAGATGGCGACTTCCGATATAAGAAAAATAGGAAATACTGTTGCCGACGCATCAATTTGGGTATTTTTGGAATCGGGGTGACATCTAAAGATTGGGAATAAATTTGCGACGCTATTTTGAAATCCAAGATGGTGGCTTCTGGTTCAAGAAAATGTGGTAAATACTTTCAAATACCCATCAATATGGATATTTTTAGAATCGGGATGACATCAAGAGGCGGAAAATCGATATCCGATGCCATGATTGATGGGTATTTGACAGTATTTCCCACTTTTTCTTAAATCGAAAGCCACCATCATGGATTTCAACATGATGGTGGCTTCCGATTTAAGAAAAAGAGGGAAATACTGTCAAATACCCATCCATATTGGTATTTTTTGGAATCAGCATGTCATCTAGAAGCTAGAAATCGATGTTCGACGCCATTTTGAAATCCATGATGGTGGCTTCCGATTTAAGAAAAAGTAGGAAATACTGTTAAATACCAATCAATATAGGTATTTTTGGAATCAGGATGACGTCTAGGGGCCGGAAATCGATGTCAGAGGCCATTTTGAAATCCAAGATGGTGGCTTCCGATTTCAGAAAAAAATGAGAAATACTGTAAGATACCCATTCATATGGGTATTTTTTAGAATTGGGATTACTAGAGATTGGAAATAGATATGCGACGCCATTTTGAAATCCAAAATCCTGACCTCCAGTTTAGGTAAAAGTAAGAACTACTGTCAAATAACCATCAGTATCGTTATTTTTGGAATCAGGATGACGTTTAGAGAATGAAAATTAATATCCGACGCCATTTTGAAATTCTTGAAATTTGGAAAAAAAATGCAAACTATCAAATACCCTTAGGCAGAGTTGAAAAAATCATGAAAAAATCACCAGCATTCACTATGAAATGAATTTTTCATCCATAGTGAACTTTGATGAATTTTAGTGATTTTTTCAACCCTGCCCTTAGGTTATACATAGGTTTTTTTTTAAAGAATCTCTTCTCTTTACAATGTCTAGAAGCTGGAAATCGTCATCCAACGCCATTGTGAATTCCAAGAGTCAAATACCAAATACGGGGAGGACACGTAGATGCCGAAAATCGGCTTTAAATCCAAGATGGCGACTTCTGGTTTCAGACAAAGTTGGAAATACTGTCAAATACCCATCAATGTGGTTATTTCCGAAATCCCAGTAACGTCTAGAGGCCCAGAAACCGATGTTTGACTCCATTTTGTTCAGAAATAGTGGGGAATACTGTCAAATACCGATCAATGTGGTTATATTTGATGTCCGACGCCATATTGAAAATCAAGATGGTGGCTTCCGATTTTAGAAGAAGTATCAAATATACTACAAATGGCGTCCAATATCGATTTTCAGCATCTACGCGTCGTTCCCGTTCCGATAATACCCAGATCTTAGGGTATGTGACACTATTTGTGAAACCCGATGGCCGCCATAATGGATTCCAAAGTGGTGTCGAATATCGATTTTCGTCATCCAAGCGTCGTCCACGTTCCGAAAATACCCATATCTTAGAGTATTTGACACTTTGTCTGAGCCCGATGCCCGCCATATTCGATTTCAAAATAGCGTCGGATTCGATTTTCGGCATCTTCACATCGTCCCGAAAATTCCTATATTGCAGGTAATTTGAGACCTTTCCTGAGACCGATGGCCACCATTTTGGACTCCAGAATGGCCTCGTTAATTTAATTTTTGTTTAATATAAAATACAATTTTATTGCTACATAAAATCCGGATGTTAACCCAATCGGTAACCGATATTGTGCGGATACTATACTGATGCCTGACGACGCGACGCGTGAAAAGCCGAATGAGCCCCGAATTGAAGTGAAAGAGGCACAAAATGAAGGAAGCAGTTTTCGAGTCATTCATTGCGTCAATTGAAACAAGTCTTTGCTTCAAATGAAATGAATAATTTCATTTGAATATTTGAGGACCACCCTAATTTTAAAACTGGCCTTATGAAGGAGCATTTTAAGCTGAAAAAGTTTTCAGAAAACACCTCCTAAACTTTAGATAAATGCACTGGGACTTTTGTCTTGGTAAATTGCCATCTTGGACCATTGTACATTGGCTGTTCTCGTACATATTCCAGGGGTCCCGGCGAAACGGCCACAATCTTATATAGACTCAAAACCATCAAACCGCATGAGAATCGTTGAAAAACATCGTTGGCGTCATATAATTACTCAGGATCACATTTGAAACACTCGGTCATGTTCCAGGTGTCCGTGGGATTGACATGAGCTAATGTCCAAGCAATTGAAGTACAAGATCGTTAACAGTAACATGAGCCAAACTCCGTCCCGCGATAAATCAAATTATATTGAAATCCCGCAACCACATTGGTTACACCCGGACATCTTCTAGGTGCCCTCGAGGTAGTGGATAATGACATAATTCATTCCGTTCCTAAATGCGTATTCGAGCATTTTCGTTGAATCATAAATTTTTAGAAATGTAGAATACATTCAATTTTAATATCTATCATATAACTTATACACTTAATTAATCAAAAACTTCGAAAATATTAAACAATCGCCATTGAAAAATTAAATGCATTCAACGGAAAATATAAAAACTGAGGATTTCCAATCAGGCGGGGATAAAGAAAAGTGGCTTTTATTTTATTCATTCCAGATAGGTTCGCTTTGAAACTCCTGTACCCTTGTTTCTGAAACGTAGACTGACTCAACAAAATGCGTCAGTCTTATGTTGAAACGCCTCATTCCGCGCAATCATCATTCATGACCGAATAATTACCCCACCTATCTAATCTCCTTCGTAGTTGCACCAGAAACCAGAATCTCATTGCTCCAACCGTTACCCTTTTTCCAGGTCGTCCCAGTGGCGGTCGGCGTACTGGTGGTAGTCGCCGGTGCTGTCATTGCCAACTACCTTCTCAACAGCAGCAAGAAAGACAAAAGCAAATCCGGCAAGGATGAATCGAAAAAGCCCTCCAGCTCCCAGCTGCGAACCCTGGTCGATTCACAGGAAAAGTACCTGCTTCCACTGATCGAGAAGGAGGAAATCTCACACGACACCCGCCGATTCCGGTTCGGGCTGCCATCGGCGAAGCACATCCTGGGGCTGCCGGTCGGTCAGCACATTCACTTGTCGGCCACCATCAACGAGGAGCTGGTGATCCGAGCGTACACTCCGGTTTCCTGCGACGACGATCACGGCTTCGTGGATCTGGTCGTCAAGGTGTACCAGAAGGGAGTGCATCCCAAGTTCCCGGAGGGTGGCAAAATGTCGCAGCATCTGGAAAGTTTGGCTATCGGTGATCGGATTGCGTTCCGCGGTCCGTCCGGACGGTTGCAGTACCTGGGTAATGGCAAGTTTTCGATCAAGAAGCTACGCAAAGATCCGGCGCAAATCTACGAAGCCGATATGGTCAGCCTGATTGCCGGTGAGTTTGGGATTCTGCTGTGCGGTGATAAGCGTTATCAGCGAGTTGCGAGATTATTTTTAGCTTGTAGAATGTTTGTGGAAGTGTGTGTGTGTGTGTGTTACTGGAAGCATGAGGATGAATTGCAAAAAGAGGTTGTGTGACTCTCAGCTGTTCGTTCAAGGCTCACGAGTAATTTTGCTGATTGGCTTTGCGTGACCTGAAACTGATGCTTCGATTTGTATGGGTGTATGGAGATTGAATCAACGGGAAATCTTTGTTGCTTTGCATTTAAATAAAAGAATTGATCAATTCTAGGTGGAACTGGCATCACCCCTATGCTACAGTTGGTTCGTGAAATCCTCAAGCACGCCGATACGGACAAGACTAAGCTGTCTCTCATCTTTGCTAACCAGGTATAGCAGAATTCAGCATCTCATCGTAACTTCAAAACTAAGCTTTCCCCTTATGCATTTCTAGACCGAAGATGACATTCTGCTTAAACCCGAATTGGACGACCTGGTTGCTCGCTATCCAGACCAGTTCAAACTGTGGTACACCTTGGATCGCCCGAAACCCGAATGGACCCAAGGTCAGGGCTTCATCAACGATCAAATGATCAAGGAGCACCTATTTGAACCATCCTCGAATACTCTGGTGCTGATGTGTGGCCCTCCACCGATGGTCAACTACGCTTGCATTCCAGCACTGGAAAAGCTGGGCTACCAGATGGATCGTACCTTCGCTTATTAAGTTATTAACAATCTCCCTCACCCGTTCCGAGAACATCGAAAAGACATGGTTCATACATTATTACATTTGAATCTTACAAAAACATGATTGCATTTCCATCTTGATACGTGCTGTGCTGCCGTCTATTCGGAGATCATTACCACCACCTCTTGAACCGCTGCTGACTATCATCGTTGTCGTCGTCGTCGTCATGCGCGCTCAAGTGTCCTCAGTCTGTGTCGTTTGGCGCCGTCGCCTGGCTTTAAAGTGTCGACTTCTACCGTAAATAGGAAGAGCAAAGCAAGTGTAAGACACGGTTTCTAAATTATATTTAACGTTGATTATAAATGCTAGGAAAGTAAAAAGACCAAGAGCTAATGCGAACTAACTAGGCCTAGAACTCATTTGCAGGCTCGTAGTGGCTTTAGGGAGAAGTTTGAATGCTATTTAGAGGGCCCAGATATTTACCTAACTACCTTTACGGTGGGATAACAAAGCGCTTGCTGTTGCTGTCCAAGACAATGAAGTTACTCTCAAACTAAATAGTGAGCAAAGTTCGTGAAGTACTGGTTAGCACGATTCTTGAATACAGTTGTAGTGTATTGAAACGGTATTTATATAAGTATATATCACAGATCCTTGAATACTTGTTCAGATTTTTTTTTTCAGGAAAGTTACAGGCGAAGAACATTACACATATCTGAACAAGTAAATTCGATGTACTGCTGCCATTGGCGCAGCCACGATTTTTGATTGAAGATGGGGGGAGGTCTATTTGTAGAAATGGAAGCTGATGGAAACTTCATGTAGAGGTTGGAAAGAACTTCCAGAGAAGTCAGAAAAAAAAACTTCCGGAGAAAGTTGGGAGAAACTCCCAGAGGAAACTACCCGAATCTGTTGGGAGATTAACATCCAGGGCGAAATAAATTTTCAGACGAAGTCTAGGGTAAGTCAGCTGGAATTCTTGGGGAACTCGGAAGGAGCTTCCAAGAAAAATCGTAAGAATTGTCTGGTGTCATCCAGAAGGAACTTTCGGAGCAAGTCTGGAATCGGAAAACCATGAGAAGTTACCGGAATCCGGTGAAAGTCAGAAGAAATCTTCCAGGGGAAATCTTAAAAATCACTCAGTGTCAGTCAGAAGAAGCTTTCGGAGCATGTCTGGAAAAAACGGAGAAGTTTCAGGAATCTTCCAGTGGAACTCGTTCAATCATTCTAATAAAACTGGAACAAGCTTATGAGATGGATAATAACTAGGTAGGTCATGACTTTTCATACACATTTCTTGACAGTTGGTGAAAGGTCATTTGGATTCAAGCTGCTGCACGAGTAAGTTAAACATTTATCGACGGATTTTCACAAAGCTTCCACGGAAAGATGGAAGAAATCAGAATAAAATTCCGGTAGTAGTCTAAAGCGGTCTAAATACACTTTCAGGGATTACAGAGAAAACAACTCTTCCGGAGAAATTTTAGAAAAACTTCCGGGGAATGTCTGAAGACTCTTTCAAAGGAGATCAACAGAAACTTCCGGTAGTAGTTAGAAGATACTCATGGACGGGAAAATTCTGCATAAGTCGGCTGACACTTTCAAATTGGCAACAAAAAACATCAATAGTATTTAAAACATCTTCCGAGGTAAATCAAAATATTAAAATTAAATTGTTAATTTTCTTTATTTTTCCATGAATTTTCAGTTACACAGAAGTTAAGTTTTGCATCAAAATTAGCCGAAATTTTGAAGTGTTATATATGACCAACTGCACAACATTTGGAGATATAATATTCGCCTAAGAAAATGGGAAGACCCCATGAATTAAAAACAACAATGATCATCAAATTTCCTTGCTTAAACCGAGGGGGACGACTCTATCTACGATGCAAAAAAGATTGTGTTTTGCTGTGGCTAGCTGCGCGCACGCTGAGTAGATAGAAAGAAGATTGATGACGATTCTGAAGATTTCCTGCAAAAAGATGATGAGCGATGCAAGTAGATGCGACAAATGAAAGAAGATTTTTCGAAGATTGATTCGCTAGTGTGCGATTTGTTAAGCATCTAAACTTGAGATTTAGATGTGTCGCCCCCCTCGGCTTAAACACTGATTTTTAATTAGAGACTGTACAATTTTTTAAGCAATCTGTAACATGTGATACAGAATCCATCATAAAAATCAGTGTTGGAAAAATATCAACAAATCAAATCTCACCAAAGCCCAATATCACGCTTGATTTTCGTAGACAAAAGTCAGCAAGCACACTACTGCCGTTGATATCGCAAGCTGTGATGTCGCAACAAGGAATATCAAGCTAACAAAACTCACCAGCTGCAAATCTCTTCAAACTGTGGTGAGATTTAGTTTCATGATTTTTGCTTTAAGCTGGGTTTAGACTAGGGGAGTCAAATGATCAACTCAGTTGAATTCAATTGGCTTGAAAAGTTGAGCCTGGTTCAACTATTTCAATTCAAGTGAGTTGATCAAGTCAGTTGAATGGCATGGTTCACACGTTTAATTCACGTTCAAGTCAGTTGAATTCAACTGAGTTGATCAATTGACTTACTCTGTCTAAACCCAGCTTTACACTTCCATGTTTTTTTTTTTTCTTTATTAGAGAGATTTTTAGCCTAAGGCTAGTTCATCTCTTGACTTCCATGTCGGCTAGCAGCAGTCGCTTCGTGTCTGCCATCGGTGAAGATAAAAAAGATAGCATTATTATACTGGGCCTTATTACGGGTGTGTCACTACATGGTGATAAGCAAGAGATACTCAGAATAAGAGCCGTGATTACCGTACAAATCAAATAGGAATCACTTCACCGTGACGACAAGTGACAAGTTTTCACCGTGAAGTGACATCCGTAATAAGCCCCACCTTCTCTTTCTAAGAAAACGGGGTGCAACGGAATCATTTTTGCGTCGATTCAACTATCAGCTTCAATCGAGGCTTCAACTTTACACGTTGTGAATAGTCCCGCAATATCAAAGAAGCTTGTAAAATCAATATCAAGCATTATATTTTGCTCAAATATCACGCGTGATATTGAGAGCGTATAAGAGCGGAAAAATATCAATTTGCTAATGATCATGCCATCACTGTTGAAAATTGCAAAGAATCATCTCTGAAAATTTCAAGTCATAACTCAAATTGAAATCTTGATTTATTTGCTTTTCTACCATTTATTCTTTTGATTTTGGATCCACTAAAAATAATTCGACCTTTAGATCTTCTGTCGATTTTGTCCATTTAACAATTCAACCATTTGCTTCTCTGTCTGTATCGTACACGCTTAGTTCGGTTCACATACCCACTTTATTGGTAAAGTCAAGGGGTAATCAACTCTGCATACTGTGCCAAAACATATAATGGCACACTTTTCGGCACGCTAGGACGCACGTTGACAAGCAGGACACAAACAATTTAACATAAAACGGCATCTCGGTCGAGTGTTGACTTGTTACCACTCGTTGCTAAAGTTGGACTACTTAATTTACTCCACTGGGCTTCACGATTGGCTCAAAAGATCTGTAAGTATTTTCTGCACCATGAATCTAGCCAAAACCAACAAATCTCATCCGATTGGTGGTTCGATTCCCGGTAGTGCCAAGGGTCTTCCGGGATGGAAATTTTATCGTTTTCCCCTGCGTTTTTCCTTAGATATTCTTGCCAGTCATTGGTTTCAATTAGGTATGGAGTTCGATGGGAAATTCACAGGACTTTATATACTTCATGTCCATAGACATTCCTGTACTGCTAGCGGATATCGATACGTATTAACCTCAAATATTCCATCCAATCTGGACATGTGTACGGTTGCCTTAACGAAATAGTATAGGATTAATGGGAACAGATCAATGCAATTATATTCCATTCCGTGAATCCGACAACAAGCAAATACCCATCATCAACGATTCGGCCATTTTGCAGATGAATCTCTGTCATCGAACTAGTTTTTCTCAAGAGGCCCCGATGTAGAGTTTTTATAAGCTCTTGCTCAATCTGGTGGGGTCAATGGTTCCCACATGACGACATTAAGCAAATTCCTGTTCGCCAAGAGCTCGGGGGCGTACAGATGAGCAACAAGGGTCCTGCCTGCAGTACAACTGCAAATGCGATGCTTATCTGGATCACAAACCATTTCCAAAGTATGACTGATCTGAAGTGGGAGGATTTTTCAGAGCTAACATTTTAAATGGGCGTAAATGATTTTGTAAACAGTGGCTTTAGCCGTTGATACCTCGCAAATTCACCCCTCCAAATTAACAATGCTAGCCGAGGGGGAAGACAGTGAGAAATTAAGAGCAATCCAGAGTAACTCTGAGGAACTCTGTTACTCTCCGATGAACGATTTTATTATCTCGATTGTTTTGACAGCGCAGCCCAAGCAATCAATATTTTCGGTGTAAAGGAACGTTAGTTTTTTCAGCCGGTGATCTATGCCGTAAAATATACTCAATTGGGTTCTTTAATTTTTAAAAAATGTATCGGTTTTTCATCATCATCTGAAAGAGCTTCGTTTTCTGAGTACAGCGATATTTTTTTCCGAATACATACAATTTCATATCGATTTAAAAAAAAAAAATATTTAGAGCAAAATAATAACGTTACTGTTTGACAATAAACTAACAGACTGACAGCTCGTTCCCATGCAAAGGGCCACCGAGGGGTACAAATGTAATCGTATTTATTTAAAATAGTTCCAGTGTATCAACATTGATGAAATTTAGGATTTGGGTTCTATTTTTAATGCAGATTACGAATATGTATTTACCTTAATACCCTTAAAGTACCCAATTCATCGGAGAACTTGCTATCAAAACAAACATCATGCAATAGCGTTGCTGTTTTGATACAAAATACATGGTGCTAGGGGGGCGTCTGTGTTGGTTTGGTTGAATAGTTTGTACGTTTGTATTTTCCTGTTCTAGCAACCGAGACCCTCACAGGATTCATCCTCAAGTACATGTCCCCACCGGAGCTGGTAGCCGGAAGGGAATATCCATTCGCTTGCTCTAAGCATCCGGATGCCCGATAGCAAGATCCTGGTCAATTTCATTACCATTGCAAAGAGAAAAGTGCCCTGCAGAAAACCATCATCAGAGTGATTTAACAAAATAGCCAAACTTTCAATGAAACCGAGGGGGACGACTCTATCTACGATGTAGAAAAGATTGTGTTTTGCTGTGGCTAGCTGCGCGCACGCTGAGTAGATAGAAAGAAGATTGATGACGATTCTGAAGATTTCCTGCAAAAAGATGATGCGCGATGCAAGTAGATGTGAGAAATGAAAAAAATATTTTTCCGAGGGGGGCGACACATCTAAATCTCAATTCTAGATCTCAAAAAATCTCACACTAGCAAAGCAAACTTCGAAAAATCATCTTTCATTTCTCGCATCTACTTGCATCGCGCTTCATCTTTTTGCAGGAAACCTTCAAAATCGACATAAATCTTTCTTCTATCTACTCAGCGTGCGTGCAGCAAGTCACAGCAAAACACAATTTTTTCTGCATCGTAGATAGAGTCGTCCCCCTCGGATTTTTCGAAGATTGATTCGCTAGTGTGAGATTTGTTGAGCATCTACACTTGAGATTTAGATGTGTCGCCCCCCTCGAA